ATGTACAGATTTGCTGGCAACGAATACAAGCGCGACTTGACGAGTCAGAAGTTCCGGTACGAAACCTGTTTCGGGCGAGATACAGAGGAGAAGGGACAGGAAAAGGGAAGAGCGGAAACTTAAAACGCGACGCGAGAAGCCATGAGTACGCAGGCGATGAAAGCAGCAGCTTTTGGATCAAGACCCAAAGTGAACACTTGAAAAGCGGCACCTTTCGTAACAAGCCGCAACGTCGGAATCTCAATCCTCTGCGCACTTCACGGAAAGCGGACCGCTCGGCTTTGCAAAAAGCAGGGCTCGGAAAGAGCTCAAGACAGCTTAAGTGCTCTTGCCGCGTCTCCTCCCACACTACGTCGGCGCGCGGGCTGAAGCAATTAAACTCCCAACTTGGCGTAAAAGCCAGAGCAAGCTGCTAGGGTTTGAATGATATGATACCTGATCAATAGGGCTTGCGCTGCTGATTTGCGAATCTGAATCGGAAGATGCTTGCTTGGCACGTAACGATGCTCGACCAGGGCACGTGGAATGATAGCCTTTCTCGTCCGGAATGGCCGACTGTCGTTATACCTTCTCCGCTTTACGAATGGCGGCAATCGTCGATAGTGAAACCGAATCTCGATCGTACGAACATTAGGTGCGCTTACAGTCTTTGTAGCCGCTGCCTCAAAACGAGATCGAAACGTCGGGAACCAACGCCATGCACGAATTGTCTTAGCGTCGGGATTAGTTCAGGCAGTCTGGATAAATATCCCAGTTTCAACTAGATTGTCTCGTAGTAGCGAGAGGGCTCGCTTCGTCTTGTCACGTCACCGTCCTCCCTTGTGTCTTTCTACGCATGGCCTGCACTGTCAGCTGAGAGGTCCGTCTCTATGTACTCACCGCGGCCCGCGACTCTCCCTCTATCATTCTTGCAACCAGCTGCTGACTCAAAACGAGCTGGCATGGGCGACAGACAGCACCAGACCCCCTACGTTCTCTTTCGCCTTGTCAGCCATCCTAGGTAACTCCAGAGTCCAGGCCAAAATCCTAGCACAAATTCAATAGGGTACCCCCACAAGAAAAGAGAGCTGGCTGGCTGGAGTCCCGCAAATCCCAGCCCCATTCCGCTCCACGTCGCGCCGCCTCGTGGTCGCAACACCCCCGCAGCATGTGAGTCGACCGCGTTCTCGATCATGCAAGCTGGCTGAATATGCAAGACTGGATGGTTCCTTCCTTCCCTCCCCTCAATTCGCCCCGTTGAACCGAACCGAAACTCGCCGTCGAACTGGCCTCCTAAATCCATGCATACTCTCTCCCCCCAGCGGCATGAATATCTCACCTAGTTGATTCGGGAAGGAATCGTGCAAACGGTGGGGGGGAAAGCCTGGATGCACAGTGGACGGTGTGCACCATGGTGGCTACAGTGAAGTACACAGAATATGCACAAAAATCAAACGTTTTTCGCGGATGTAAGGCTTGTATTACCCACAGTTTGTCATATTTGATGTATTGTTTGACCTTTTAAAAGGTTTACAGTTACAAATACAAACTTGGGTGCGAGGAAATCTGCTCCTACAACAGGAGGAGTAAAGAAGCCTCATCGTTATCGTCCCGGAACGGTCGCCCTTCGGTGCGTTTTTTTTAAAGAAGTTTCGACTATCTTTGCGGTGCGCTTTTCTGACATTTTTTTTTTCATGGTTTGGCAGTGAGATTCGCAAGTACCAGAAGAGTACCGAGCTGCTAATTCGGAAGCTTCCCTTTCAGCGGCTGGTTCGCGAAATTGCTCAAGACTTTAAGGTCTGGTATTTTCTTTTAAAAAATATTGATCCTCGCTTCTCCGCTCTGTTTTCCTTCCTTACCGTAACTTAATGCTATTACCTGTGCTGCGCAGACGGACCTGAGGTTCCAAAGCCATGCCGTGCTCGCGCTCCAAGAAGCTGCCGAAGCTTATCTCGTTGGTTTGTTCGAGGATACGAATTTGTGCGCCATTCATGCCAAGCGTGTCACCATCATGCCTAAGGACATCCAGTTGGCTCGGCGCATCCGTGGAGAGAGGGCATAGATCTGTTTAACGTGTATAGAATGTTGTAAGTCGTGGAGCTTCAAAGCCGCTCTTGACCTTTCACTTGGTCACTTTTTTTCAGGGGAAATACGCTTTTTTTTTTTGTATTTCTAGGATGGTCTGTCTGTTCGTTTCTGATCTGGCATACCGTAGCTGTGGACGATTTCTAACAGGGCATTTCTACATATCTGGTGTATGCTTTGTTGATCCTTGCAATCATCAATCAGTGCATGAACTATGAGATAATATGAAAGAAACACATGTTGCTTTCCAGCAGAGGCAAGTACGGTATGGTATTTGCGCACCAGAGGGCCATTCCTGGCTTAAAAATCGGTTGGGGCTCAACATTTGCCTGTTCTGATCTCGCCACCACCTGGTCGAGGATTGGGGAAGGGGGAGGGGAAGGTGTAGGGAAGGGAGGAGGGAAGAAAAAGGGCTGTTAGGATTGCAGTGTGAAGGGTTGCAGTGTTAAGGGTTTGCAGTGTTATGGTTTGCAGGGTTGCAGGTTCACAAGGCACTTACTGCAAGAGCTTGTCGCTTGAGGTGGTTCATCTGGCAGAATTGGCGCACGCGCTTCATGACAGAAAGAGGCAGAGGGCACGCGGGTGCTCCTCCCTCTCGCACCCATTCATGCTCTGTGCGGAGAAGAATGATTGTGGTGCGTGCACGTGTGAGAGTCAAAGTGAGAGTGTGCATGAACCTGTGAGCGTCAAAGTGAGTGAGTGTGCATGAACGTGTATTCAGAGGGAGTGTGTTTGTATGGGTGTGAATGCATACGCGAAAACACTCAATGGAAAGTCCAAATAAAAACACACTGATTCATGTGTTTTGAGTTGGGGTGCAGCGACCATCCAGCCAGCTCCCCCTTAAAACCAGGGTGCACATTCAACGCGGTTCGGCTTGAGATGTTGGGAAGGGGGTTTGGAGAAAAACAGTGATTGGCTCACGAGGGGCGACAAAAAAATGATTCCGCTAGAGCTTCGGGCATTTCGTAGGTGGCGGGAGGGGGTGAAATGGCGGGAGTGGGTGAAACCGAATGGCGGGAGGGATGAAACAGATTGGCGGGAGGGGGGGGAAACGAAATTGCGGGGGAGGGGGGAAACAAAATTGCGGGGGAGGGGGGAAACGAATTTCGACGGGGAGGGGGAAATGAAATTGCGGGGGCGTGGGGAAACGAATTTCGACTTGAAGGGGTTGAAAGCACACCTCGTAACCCACTCAGTCAAGGGATAACCTTTGATGCACATTCAGCTGAATGTGCACCCCGGTTTTAAGCACACCCGTTGCGTGCTCCCCTCTCGAACCAACTCCCTGTCCCCCTTTTCCCCCCCTGCTCCCCCCCTCTTCCTTCTTCCACAACACACATACTGAGGATCTCCCGTGTGGTTATTCGCCTGGAAGCATCCCCCCCAGCATGCGCCCCACGAGGTGCTTGGCTTGCTGGGAGATGGTCGGCCAGGTGGCGTGGCGCTGTCCACTTCCCCCAGGTAATATTGCACTACCCCGCAAGACACACACCCACCAACCAAGGATCCACTGTGTGCTGATTCGTCGGGCAGCGTCGCGTTGCTGTCCAGCATGTGCCCTACCAGGCACTTGCATGGGCTGCTCATCTCATCTCGTACCCTCAAACTGCTGGCCCAGACACACCCGCCTACCTAGAATCTCCTGGCTGGTGATTCGCCGGGCTGCATCGCTGCTCATCTGGTACTCTCCCCCTTCAGCACCACCTCACATATCCCCTCCTCTGGCACTGGTGGGGGTGAATGAAAGTGAAGGTGCGTGTGGAGGAGGAGGGGAGAAGGAACCAGGGAGGTGGGGATGGCAAAAGGAGGGGCCGTGCATGTGCAACTGCGGTACAGTGCAGACACTAGGAATCTCCAAACCGCGTTGAGGCGCTTTGATGTATCGATCGAGGCACTCGACTCGATGGTGGAAAAGCGGATGAGTTAAAGAGACGAAAGGCCATGGTATGGTTTGGTACGTTGCGAGTGGGTGAACTGAACCTCCCAGGGCAGCAATTGTATGTCTCTCATCCCTCTTATACGCGGTAGTACATATGCACATCTCAACGCAACCCACCATCCTAGCAGGGCGGGGTGCTGCACTGCAGCACGCATGTTATCACGCCAACCAAAGCTCCACATGACACTTACCGCTCAAGATACCATTTCTCCGCGTTGCACCACATCACCAGAGCATGGCATACCATCCCAGAAGGGCGGGGGTGCTGCACAGCAGCAGGTAGGCGATAACCCCAATGCTCCGCACATCACCCTCGCTGCCATAACTGCCTTGTCACATACCATACCCTGCACAACACCACCTCACTCACCGCATTCCACCACACACAACCGCCTCATCCCAACCCACCATCCCAGAAGGGTGGGGTTCCACACACACAGCAGCATGTAGGTGATCACTCGAACGCTCCACACGCCACACTCTGGCACCATGCATTCCCAACACACCATATCACCGCATTCCACCATACCACACACAACCAAATTCCATACCATCCCAAAATGGTGGGGTGCCGCACAGCAGCATGTTGGTGATGACTCCAACACTCCACACGTCACATTCCAACACTGCCATAGTCCCTCCCTCCTGAGCATCTCTGGCGCCACATAGTACGCACTGCCCACCACCTCCTTGAAACGCTGCCCTGGGATAGGCCGAGAGGGAAAACACGAGGGAGAGAAAAAGTGAGCCTAAGGGCGGAGGGAGGAGGGCAGCATGTGGGGAGGGCGCACTGCTCCCAGTTCCTCTAAGTGCCGCCCTGGGAAGACACGTGTGGGGGAAGTAATGAGTGCGAGTAGGAAGAAGCAAGGCAGGATGTATCACGGTGGGGAGACCGAACTGCCTAGTAGCTCCCTGCACCACGCCCTGCCTGTGCTTGCACTGCACTGCTTCACTCACACGCGGCCTCACAAGAAACCAGCACTCATGCCAGGCTCTAAGAGCTGCCCTCTGCCTTGATCCCATCGTATAGCATGCCGCCTGGGTTTTGAGAAGGGGTGAGGAGAGGCAGGAGAGGAGTGACAGAGAAGATGCCTTTTTCAATCATATGCAAAAAGCTGCCCTCCGCCTTGATCCCATCGTATAGCATGCCGCCTGGGTGGGGGGGGGAAGGGAGGGAGAGGAGAGGCAGGAAAGGAACTGGGTTCTTTGAATTGAATGCGAGCTGTCCTTCCGCCCATTCCACTGCATAACTTACCGTCTGGCAGGAGGGGCGGACAGGGAGAGGCGGGAAGGGTGAGTATTGCTGTAAGTCCACCTTTTCCTCCGCCCTCTTTCCTCTTTCGCTCTTTTTTCCCTCCTCCGCTCCTCCTTCCCTTGTCCGCTCCTCCTTCGCCTCTCCTCATGGGGTGGTGGGGATGGCTGGGAGTGGAGATGGGAGGGGTTGGGTGGGGGTAGGAGAACGAGGGGGAGGGGGAGGGGGAGGGGGGGGGGGAAAGGGTTAGGGGGAGGGGGAGGGGGAGGGGGAGGGGGAGGGGGAGGGGGAGGTGGAGGGGGAGGGGGAGGGGGGAGGGGAGGGGGAGGGGGAGAGGGAGGAGGAGGGGGGGAAGGAGGGGGACGGGATGGGGAGGGGGAGGGGAATGGGGAAGGAGAGAGGGAGGGTGAGGCGGAGGGGAGATGCCCTCCATAGACTTGCCCGTGTCTGGCTTACACGACCCACCACACTACCATCATATCACCCGTGATACCCCATGGCTCCTCTCGCCCACCCACTCTAATTGTACCACCCAGCACCCCACCTATGTCACCAAGCACCCTCAAACACAACCCACCACCCCCCAACCCACCCCACCCCGCCACACCACACCACCCCAACATACCATCCCTCCTGCACACCACCCCTCCTGCACACCACCCCTCCTGCACACCACCCCTCTACCACACTCCCCTCCTGCGCACCTGTGCAGAGCTGCAGAATGAAGTGCACACACATGGCGTCCTCGTATTGGTCGATGAGCGTCGCAATGCCCGCATGGCCCGTGGAGAGACGAGCACGAATGGTGGCCTCCCGTGCCACGTTGGCAAATGACGTGGGGGACAGGTGATTTTGAATCAACGCAGAAGTTATCTCGGTTGTTGGGAGTCAGTCGTACTTGACGCTCGGATCGCCTTACCCCCCCGGGACGCCGCGCTGTTCCTATCTGCGCGCAGCAAAGCCTCGCTGGAGAAACACGCGCCCATGACGCCGCGCGCCGCCCGCGACGGCGACGGCGACGGAGACGGCGAACACGGACTGCCTCCTGCACATGCCGTGAAACAGCTTTGGATACTTCAGGCCGGCAGGCGCGAGTGCTTCGCATGGAATCGCAGGAGAAAGCCGGCTGGGCGAGGCCAGGATCACGTACAAGTGATAAGAAAACTGAACTGATCGCGCTGCGGCGGACTCGCGGCAGTCAGATGCGTGGACCGGGATGCATCGAGAGAGGTGCTGGGCGGGAGCGACAGAGTAGTGGCAGTGCGCGCATTGCGAGGGCAACGCAGAGCGACGGTGGTGATCGAGCAGCAGAGACGCGCTGCTGCTGCAGACAGACGTACGGGCTTGAGTTGGGGCGGACATGGATTGAGTAGAAGGGGCAATGAACCAGGTCGCGTCGCAAGTTCGCAAGGGGATGTGGTGTTTCGGGGTTGGCATGAACGAGGGCGTGTGGAGGGATTTTGATCATTCCTTCCAACTCTTCTCTTCTTTTGAGCGAGTCTGTTCATCACGAAGTGTTGTAACTGTTCGCTTCGACGATATGCAGTGCGATGCGGTAACACATTCAGGGTTTCAGAATGTTACTTTCACGTTTTGGAACGTTTTGGTAAGGTTTGATTTCACATTACTGCACATCCGTGGATTGCTGCTACTCCATTGTCAAGCATAGGCAGGCTATTGTACAGTAGTGCACTATTCTTTACAAACAATCAAATGGAGGCTCAAAATTTCCCAGTATGGTGCAGCTCCTGTATTCTGATCTCTGAAAGGTTGCTCAATAGCCCTGAACCTCTCCATGCATTGCCATCCTCCATACCCTCACGCATCATCCGACTGAACTCCTCCCGGTCAATGTGCCCACTCTGTAAGTGAGGGGCAGACGGGGAAGAAGAAAGGGGAGCAAGCGAAGGTGTGACTTGTAGGTTGTAGTAACTGGCCGTGGGAAGCTTGGGGAAAAAAAGCCAGATAGAGCAGGGTGCTTTTCTCACATGCTTGTTGCCAATCTCCTTGATGAGGCACTCCACTGTCTCATCACTCTCGCCTGCTGCAAGCGTGGCCTTCAAATCAGCCATTGTGATATAGCCACGCCCCTCCCTGGAACACACAGAGGGCAACGAGCACATGCATTAGCAGCAATTGCTTGAAAGAAGTGGTCCATGCAACCGGGACAAAGCTCGTAGCCCACATCACAATCTTGACCGTCTTCTATCAAACTATGTGATGGCATGTGTGCTTAACAAAAACATGTCTTCTGCCTGACTGCACAGGATTGCATTCTTTCTAACCTAATGGATGAGCAACAAAGTCAGCCTCGCGACAGCAGTGACCCACCCATCGAAGTGCAGGAACACCCACTCTATGCACGCACCACCATCCGTGCACTTCACCACAGTGGCTGCTGTACGCTCTGACTTTCGAGGCGTCTCAAAACTCACTTGTCAAAGTGCTTGAATGCCTTGTCTATGCACGCAGCATCCATGCGCTTCACCATGATGGCAGATGCGTACTCTGACAGGTCCAATGTGCCCGACCCCTTGCTGTCCGCCTGGCCTCCGACCGAGGGGGTGAGGTGCAAGAGAGAGGCAGGTTGAATCAGCAGTTGCACTAGCATTCACCCTATCTGTATGCGCACTGTCTTTGCTCTTCACTGTCTTTGCGCTTCACCATGATGGCCAATGCGTACTCTGACAGGCCCAATGTGCCTGACCCCTTCCTGTCCGCCTGGCCTCAGAGCGGCCGGGAGAAGAGAGAGGCAGATGGGGGAGTTGGTCAATCAAAGCGAGTTCGTCTCACCACTTTGACTATGTCTCGTTGTTGGAGAAAGGTTGGGGAGAGGGGAGAAAGGGGGGGTGGCGCATCTGCTGAAAGCCTGCTGTATGTGAGTCGTTGTGTCAATCATTGCAAGGACCTAGATAGGGCCGCCATTGCATGGGAACAAGTCTGTAATTGGGTCAAGGTGATGAAAGTGATGTTGGCTCAGCCTGAGTGGGGGTTGGCTTAGCTCATCATGAGTGGGGGATAACTTGGCGCAACAAAAACAGGAGGATAGCTTGACTCGCCTTCACTCAAAGCTTGGGTGATCTTTCGGGCCTCCTCCACTGAAAGCGGGATGTGCAGCGACTGAAACCCGACCACCAGACCAGACATCGAAATACAACCTTCCCTGTCAAGATACGCACTAGGAGAAAGCTTGGCTCACCGCCTGGATGATCTCTCGGGCCTCGTCCTCTGAGAGTGGGATGTGCAGCGACTGGAAGCCGGCAACGAGGTCCGACACGGAGATGCAGCCGTCCCTGTCGAGGTCGAGATGGTCAAAGCGTGTTCGAATCACTGCCATCTCCTCCTCGTCCAAACAGCACCCCGCCACCACCTGGTCGGGGATTGGGGGAGGTGGAGGGGAAGGGGGAGGGGAAGGTGTAGGGAAGAGAGGGAAGGGAAGAAAAATGTTAAGAATTGCAGGTGATTAATGTTGGAGTGTTAAGGGTTGCAATGTGAAGGGTTGCAATGTCAAGAGTTGCAGGTTCACAAGGCGCTTACGGCGAGGGCTCGTCGCTTGAGGTGGTTCATTTGGCAGAACTGGCGCACGCGCTTCATGACGGGAAGAGACAGTGGGCACGTTGGCGCTCCTCCCTCCCGCACCCACTCGTGCTCTGTGTGTGCGGACAGAGTGAGTGAATGAGTGTGAGGTGCAGATTTTGAGGCGCCTACAAAAAGGCCTGGCCCCGCTTGCACTCGTGCTCTGTGTGTGTGGACAGAGAGAGTGAATGGAGTGTGAGGGTGTCTGAACGTGTCAGTCAGAGCGAGTGTGTTGGTATGGGTGTGCAATGTACATGCATACATGAGGATGCGTGAGAGAAAGTCTTGATCTTTTTGCTTAAGTGTATTTTAAAGGTTTGATGCTACTCAAGACATGAATCTCGATGTATGGGTGTGCATGCATACATGAGAATGCGTGGGAGAAAGTCCACCTAAGCAAGGTTGTCAAGAGTTCCATTGAAAGACAGCCATTCAGCACCCCTCCAAGCACACCCATACGCCACGTTCTATGTACAAGCCCCCTTTCGACCTTCCCCGCCTTCCTCCCCCTTCCTCTTCCACCCCACCCCCTCCAAGACACACCCACCTCAAATTTCCTGTGTGGTGATTCGCCGGGCTGCATCGCTGTGCAACATGCGCCCCATTAGGTGCATCGCTGTGCAACATGCGCCCCATTAGGTGCATCGCTGTGCAACATGCGCCCCATTAGGTGCATCGCTGTGCAACATGCGCCCCATTAGGTGCATCGCTGTGCAACATGCGCCCCATTAGGTGCATCGCTGTGCAACATGCGCCCCATTAGGTGCATCGCTGTGCAACATGCGCCCCATTAGGTGCATCGCTGTGCAACATGCGCCCCATTAGGTGCATCGCTGTGCAACATGCGCCCCATTAGGTGCATCGCTGTGCAACATGCGCCCCATTAGGTGCATCGCTGTGCAACATGCGCCCCATTAGGTGCATCGCTGTGCAACATGCGCCCCATTAGGTGCATCGCTGTGCAACATGCGCCCCATTAGGTGCATCGCTGTGCAACATGCGCCCCATTAGGTGCATCGCTGTGCAACATGCGCCCCATTAGGTGCATCGCTGTGCAACATGCGCCCCATTAGGTGCATCGCCTGCTGGGAGACAGCCGGGCAGGGCAGGCAGGCACGGCTCATTGCCCCCAGCTAGTGAGCCGTGCCTGCATCTACCAAGACACACCCACACACCTACCAAGGATCTCCTGGGTGGTGATTCGCCGGGCTGCATCCCTCTCCACCATGCGCCCCACCAGGTGCCTCGCCTGCTGGGAGATGGCCGGCCGAGCCGGGCTGTCCCATGCCCCCAGCTAGTATTGCATAACACCCCAAAACACACCCGAGTCACTCCCAATGCACACCTACCAAGGATCTCCTGGGTGGTAATTCTCTTGGCAGCATCGCTCTCCAGCATGCGCCCCACCAGGTGCCTGGCCTGCTGGGAGACGGCCGGCCAGGGGGCACTGCTCATCTCGTACTCTCCCTTCAGCACCGCCTCACATATCCCCTCCTCTGACACTGGTGAATGGAGGATGGGGGGTTTTAAGGAAGGAGTGGGGAAGGTGCTACCCCTGCTGGGAGATGGCCGGCCAGGGGGCACTGCTCATCTCATACTCTCCCTTTAGCACCGCCTCACATATCCCCTCCTCCGATACTGGTGGGAGAATGAGGGAAGGACGGGGGTGAAGGGGCAAAGGTCCTTTGCCTGCTGGGAGATGGCTCGCCAGGGGAGGCTGCTCATCTCATACTCTCCCTTTAGCACCGCCTCACATATCCCCTCCTCTGACACTGGTGGGGGAGTGAGGGAAGGAGGGGGGAAAAGAAGGGGTGCAGGGGGGCCGAAGGTGCTTGGTTTGCTGGTCGAGGGCCGGTCGGCCAGGAGCAATGCTCAGCTCATACCGGCCCTTCAATACCATCTAACACATACCCTCCTCCGATGCTTTTGGGGGATGAGTGGGGGAGGGGGGGGGGGGGGGGGAGTGGAAGAAGGGGTGAAAGAAGGTGCATGGTTTGCTGGGCGATGGCCGCCCGGCCAGGTGGACTGCTCCATCTCGTACTCTCCCTTTAGCACCGCCTCACATATCCCTTCCTCCGATACTGATGTGGGTGATTGGAAGTGAGGGTGCGTCAGGAAGGAGGGGAGGGGAGGGGAGGAACCAGGAGAAGGGGACCACGAAAGAAGGGGTCGTGCAGCTGCAACTGAGGTACAGTGCAGTGCCTTTCAATGCCAAAGCGCTTTGATGTTTCAGGCACTCGACTCGATGGTGGAAAAGCGCAGGAGCCAAAGATGTGAAGGCCATGGGATGGTACGCGTCAAGTGGGAGATTTTAGAGTCGGCCCAGAACATAGAGTTGGAAGGCCATGGTATGATGTAGTACGTGGCGGGTGGAGTCAACTCACACATCTCTCATACGTGGTAGTTCACATGCACACGTGATGGTGGACGCTGAGAATCGAACCCAAGACCTTTAATGTTCTTGAGATAACGCAGGTCCCAGAGAAATTTTGAGACACAGGAATCTACCATCTTTGCCAACATACTTTATGACCGTATTCCATTATACCGCCCCACCTCAACAAAACCCACCATCCCAGAAGGGGTCGGTGCCGTACAGCAGCATGTAGGTGATTATGCCAGCGCTTCACCACACGTCACACTTGCTGCCATAACTGCCTCGCCACACACCGCACCATGCACTACAAGAAAGCACCGCATTCCACTGCATCACACCCTGCGCTATGCCATATCACCTCACTACACTGTACCACACCTTAACATACCATCCCAGACTGGCGGAGTGCCACACACACAGCAGCATGTAGGTGATCACCCCAACGCTCCACACATCGCACTCCCACCATGCATTCCCAGCACTCCATATCACCTCATTCCACCATACAACACACAACCAGATCCCAGCGTACCATCCCAGAAGGGCGGGGTGCCGCACAGCAGCATGTATGTGATGACTCCAACGCTCCACACGTCACACTCGCTGCCATAGTCTCTTCTCAACACCTCTGGCGCCACATAGTACGCACTGCCCACCACCTCCTTGAAGCGCTGCCCTGGGAGTGACGTGGAGTGAGGAGTGCGATTGGAAGAAGAGGAGGGAGGAGGTTATCACTCCAATGCTCTACTTTATCACACTCGCTGCCGTAGTCTCTTCTCAGCACCTCTGGCGCCACATAGTACGCACTGCCCACCACGTCCTTGAAGCGCTGGCCTGGGGAGAGAGAGACACGGAGTCAGGAGTGAGAGTAATGGAGGTGAGGGAGGAGGGAGTGATGACTTCAACACTCCACACGTATGCAGTGATGGGGAAGAAATAGGTGGTGGGAAGAGCTGAGGAGTTAGAGTACGCATAAGGGAATTGAAAGGGATGTGTCACGGTGGGGAGGACGCACTGCCCACGACCTCCTTGAAGTGCTATGCGGGTGAGGAGGAAGAGACAAGGCAGAGAAAGAGTAGGCCTAAAGGGATGTGTTATTGTGGGATGTGTCACGTTGGGGAGTGGAAAGTGGAGAGTCCAGATTTTACTTGAAGTTGCATACCGGGACACGCACATGCACTTAAGCTTCAGCACGCACTAAAGCACTGGCACATACTGGCACACTCGCCTGGCAGCACTGCACCGCACTGCACCGCACTGCACTGCACTGCACCGCACTGCACTGCACTGCACTCCCTCCCATGTGGTTTCACTGCACCTGCCAACGAAACACACGCACCTGGCCTGAAGAACGTGGAGAGCCCAATGGCTATAGCCATGAGCGGTGCGTCGTCCCCCGGGTGCAGCAGCAGGGAGTTCTCGAGCTTGAGATCCTGATGCACCCCACCCCACCCCACCCTGCCCTTCAGAAGACATGCTGAGGACCGACACGTACACACCTTGCTCAAAGAATGTTGAAAGCTCGAAATCGATGGCCATGAGCGGTGGGAAGTTCTCGAGCTTGAGATCCCGATGCACCACTTCAGAAGGCATATTGAGGCTCAACATGTACATACCTGGTTGAAAGAAAGTGGACAGGCCAAAGTCGATGGCCATCAGAGGGGCGTCCTCCCCTGAGTGCAGCAGCAGAAAGTTCTTTAGCTTGAGATCCCGATGCACCACTCCCCGCTCATGCATGTACTGCACCGCCTGCACTATCTGCCGCACCATGCCGGCCGCGCGCTGCTCACTGTAGCTGCCCTCCGCCTTGATGCCATCGTACAACATGCCACCTGTGAAAAAGGGGAGGGAGGCAGGAAAGGCAGGAGAGGCAGCGGAGATGGATTCCTTGCCACCTGTCAGGTGCTCCCACACTTGCCTTTCCCCTGTCATATGCCGAACCGCATGGCTGGCAGGAAGAGATGCAGGGAGGACGAATATAGCTTCCACTCTACCTCCTCTCCTCCTTCCCTCCTTCCCGACTTGAGGGGGAGGGGGAGAGGGAGTGGGAGGGGGAAGGGGAGGGGAAGGGGAGGGGAAGGGGAGGGGAAGGGGAGGGGAAAGGGAGACGTTCCATGAAGGAATGGTCTGCCTGGGCTGGTAAGCCTGCCTTGTCTCATGCCCATGATAAGAGCATCTGTGATACGCCACATTCCCCCTTTTCCACTCCACCTGTGGTGCTGAACACAATCGAACACACCATCCCATCACACCACCCCACCCATCCAACATGCCACCCCTCCTGCACACCTGTGCAGAGCTGCAGAATGAAGTGCACACACGTGGCGTCCTCGTATTGGTCAATGAGCGTTGCAATGCCCGCATGGCCGGTGGAGAGGTGGGCGAGAATGGCCGCCTCCCGTGCCACGTTGGCACATGACGTGGGGGACAGGTGGCGCTGGTGGGAGGTGGGCAGGTGGGGAACGGTGGAATGTGGTGGACAGGCGGGCGAGAATGGCGGCCTCTCGTGCCATGTTGGATTGGCACATGGCGTGGCGGACAGGTGGCGCTGGTGGGAGGAATGCAGGTGGAGAGTGGTGGAATGGGGTGGAGAGTGGTGGAATGGGGTGGAGAGTGGTGGTGCATCGTGCCACGTAGGCACACAACGTGGGGAAGAGGTGGTGTTGAAGGGGAGTTGGGTCTGGTTGGAAACGGTGGGTTGGGGTGGAAAGGTGTGGGCAGGAGGCGGCCTCACCTTGGTGATGGTCTTGCAGGCAAAGTGCTGCTGAGTCTGGCGGTGCCTTGCCATGTACGTGATGCCATACAGGCCCCGCCCCAGCTCCTTGCCTGTAAGGGAGACAGGTGGGGTGGGGTGGAGTGCGGTGGATGGATGTATGCACACATGCCAAACGTTGAGTCACTCGCAGTGGATGCCTAATCGTGCCTTGCCATGTACGTGATGCCATACAGCCCCCCCCCAGCTCCCTGCCTGTATGGGAGCGAGGTGGGGTGGGATGGAGTGCGGTGGATGCATGCACACAGGCACACATGCCCAAGAAGTGAGATGCCCAGCGGTGCCTTGCAATGTACGTGATGCAGTACAGCCCCGCCCCAGCTCCCTGCCCCGCCCCAGCCCCAGCCCCAGCTACCCACATGCCCCGCCCCAGCTCCCTGCCTGTATGGGAAAGAGGTGGGGTGGAGCGTGGTTGATGCACGCACACATGCAAACACGCACATATGCACATACGCCGCAGGCATGTACACATGCACGCACACATGCGTCAAAAGGGCAGTGGCGTCATGTGATGCGATGTGACGCGGTGTGATGCGATGTGATGTGATGTGATGTGGTGTGATGTGGTGTGATGTGATGTGATGCGATGCGATGCGATGCGATGCAATGCGATGTGATGTGATGTGATGCGATGCGATGCGATGCGATGCGATGTGATGTGATGTGATGTCATGTGATGCGATGTGATGTGATGTGATGCGATGTGATGTGATGTGATGCGATGCGATGCGATGTGATGTGATGTGATGTGATGTGTGCTCCCATACCCTGCCCACTCTGCTGGAAGGCCACACACATCCCTTCAAGCTTGCCTCCGCACCGCCCTTTCCCCATTCCTCCCCTCACCCATCTCCGTTCTCCCCTCACCTTTCTCACATTCATCCCCTCACCCATCTTCCATTCCTCCCCTCATTCATCTCCCATTCCTCCCCTCACCTTCTCCCATTCCATCTCCCATTCCTCCCCTCACCTATCTCATAATCCTCCTCCACTGCCCGAAACGGCTGCCCCAAAAGGTTCTCGGGCGCGCGGGGAGCGCCCTTGCGCGCTGCGCAGGACGACCGGGGGGCGGGGAAGGGGGGAGAAGGGGAGGGGCGCAGGAAGACGCGCCTCGGTAGGGGAAGGGGAAAAGGTACGGGTGGAGTGAAGCGCGAGGTCCGGAGAAGGGCTGATTGGTCAGCGACGTATGAGCATCAGAAGTGAATGTAAATCTGGCGCTGCTTGGGAGATTTTGAATTGACGTAGTTATTTGCCCATTCCTCTCGGGCCCCGTAACTTGTCGGATGGACCCCCCCGTAAATCTCGTACTGCCTTACCCCCCCGGGACGGCGTGCTGCTCCTATCGGCGAGCAGCAAAGCCTCGCTGGAGAAGCACGCGCCCATGCACGCCGCGCGCGACGGCGACGGCGACGACGACGGCCACGGCGACGGTAAACAAGGACCGCCGCCCGGAGTCTTCAGGCAGGCAGGCGCGAGTGTTTTCGCATGGACTCGCAAGAGAAACGCGGCTGGGCGAGGCCAGGATCACGTATACTACAGGGTAAGCCAACTGAGTTGGTCATGCCGCGGCGGACCCGGATGCGTCGAGACGGGCGGTGAGCGGGAGCGATATTGAGTAGTGAGAGTGCGCGCATTGCGAGGGGCAATGCGGAAAGACGGTGGTGATGGAGCAGCAGAGACGTGCTGCTGTAGAGACAAGGACCGGCTTGGGGCGGTCATGGATGAAGAAGGGGCAATGAATCAGGTCGCATCGCAAGTTCGCAAGGGGATGTGGTGCACTGGGGTTGGTACGAGCAGGGAGGAGGGATTTTGATAACCAACTCTTTTGCACCAGTGAATGTCGCGTTCATCAGGAAGTGATGAAACTGTTTGCTTCTTTGCGGTGCAATGCGATGCGGTAAGACATTCGGGATTTAGGAAGGTTACTTTCACGTTTTGGAACGGTCTGGTATGGTTTGATTTCACTTCACTTCCGTGCATTCCTGCTGCGCTGCTCCATTGAGTGCGCGCCAGACAACTTTTTGTATGGATGTCAGAGTGTGAGACTGTGCTTGCCTGGATGCGACTGTATTGAGCAGAAACGAATATTCCGCTGACCGTCATGCGGGCTTCAGAAACTGATTGGACGAGTGATCCGCGGGATGGGATGATCTGGGCACAAATAGACATGATGCCCAACCCGTGCACGCGAATTTGCCCTGCACCGGATGGAAACCCTGCACCCGAGGTTTTTTCCCCAGCCAGTTGCACGCCCGTTACAAGCACGTCGCGCAAGCTGCAGTGGTTATGAACCAATAGTAAGGAAAAGACCGATTTCACACTGAAGAGACTGAAGTCAAAATGTCAACGGATAGGTTACAAAGGTTTTATAAGCACCTGACGAATCCTTTTTTGCTAGCTGCGAATCGACGAAATTTAGGCGAACTTTGGGTTACATATTATAAGCCCCCTTAACAGGGCAACCGGGAGTGGCTCAAACGGGCATCATGTGGTTTTGTGGGCGGGTGAGGAGGATGGGCCGCTGAAGCCGCAGGCCTGACCACAAAACGATGGGGGTGCGGCGGGTGAACGCGAAAAGCCGAACACGTGGTTTCGCTCACAGCGCACACGCTTGTGTCAGTTCTACCAAACCGCTGTCTCGGCTACACGCACACAGAAAAGAAAAGAACCTTACATGTATATTGTATTCCCAAAACTTATTTCCTGACCATCCAAACTGAATGTTATTTCCTGTGCCAGCTTCACGATGTCTAGTACCGTATTGGCTGTTCACTTAACTGCAACAATAAACTCAGGTTCCCCATACTTCCTGAACTGACATTGCCTGGCCCAATTAAATTTTGAAACATGCACAAACCGAACCATGAACGATGAACCTTGTATGACATACCAAATCCATATGTGGAATACAGACCATGCACCACGAAACCCCACCTCACCGCGCTAAGACACTATCCGATCAATACCAGCCACCATCTCCTCTACACATATCCCCGTGCAGCCTGCACATCATCCAACCTGGCCTGCTCAAACACATAGTACATGGACAGATTCTGCATCTTGTCTCCCTGCTGATGCAAAATACATGCCATGCCGCCTGTGCTCTTCGCGCGCACCATCGCCTCTCCACCCTTCCCCACCACTTCAAACTCCTCCCAAGGATACCCCCCCAGGTGCGTGAAGAGCGTGTTGTAATGATCCAGCTTCATGAACGGAGCAGCCATGACAGACGGAGCATCCTTCTGCCCCGCCTCCATCGCCTCGCTGATCACCTTCTCTTCTGACGCGGGCGGCAGCCGGTGGAACGGCGACATGGTCGTGTTGTACCGCACGGGGCGCGGGTTGCGCCACGGCTTGCGGAACGGTGAGTCGGCAAATTTTTCCTGGGCGGCCACAGCCGCAGTGACATTACCCATGCTGTTGAGGGCGGATTCGAAGTCGCTGGGTTCAGGGTAGGGCACGCGGGGGAGGTGCCTGAAGAGGTACTGCTGGCCGATAAGCCCGAGGGTGTATGCACGCTGGTCTTGCATGCAGTCTCCCACGTATGTCGCGTCTATGATCTTAGCCAGGGCCCACGCGTATCCCACGTAGGCTCCGGAGTTCAGAAACCAGTTCTTCGTCTCGTTGATTTTCCGAGGGTAAAAAACCTCGATTTTCCGCCAGTCCGGGTAGCAGAAGATCTCCCCTCCGAATGCCACGGGCGCATTGAGGGAGAGGAACGCCTCTACGAGATTCTCCGGGCGGCAGTGGGGGCCTGGCATGAGGAAGGCGTCGTCGGCGTCGGTGGAAATGACAATGCGGTCGGGCGGCAGCGAGCGGAGGTAGTCGCGGATAGTCCGCATGCGGCCGCCCTGGCCTCTCCAGGGCACACCCACCCCCACCACGGCGAACGGAATGGCCGCCATGTGCGCGAAATCCGCCATTCGAACCATGCTGAGTCCGCAGTCAGAAGAGTAGATGATCCACTCCACGCAGCAGGAGGAGTAGGAGAATTTGCCACGTGGCACAGGATGCATATCCCAGGGGTCCACGTCAGCGTCGTATTTTACCGCGCAGCCGTCCCTTCCCGGATGCTCCTTGAGCTGCAGCCGATGCAGCACCCGGCCTCGCTCCACCCCGGCCTCCCCTCTCTTAATCGCCGCTTTAACTATGTGCGAGCACGGCATGCGATGCGACGACGGCACCGCGAGCTTGACCCAGTGGCCCATGGGCTGATTCACGCACGAGTCCCAGTGGTCCCTAAACTCCTCGACACGTGGCGTGAGATTAGTGGCCTTCAGGGCCCAGTAGCTCACGCTGAGGAAGGCAATGATGGCGAGGCAAGCGAGGAGGCATGTAACGCGGATGATCGTGCCTAGGAGGCGGGAGGAGAGGAAGGAGGGAGAGGAGGAGGAGGAGGAAGAAGAGGAGGAAACTGGGGATCCAGCCATTGCGCGTGCTGATACACGGAAGTTGACGAGACGTAACTTGTAAGACGGTTGAAATGACGAGGCTACGAGACCAGCGGAAGGAGGGTTTTACGAACGCGCGGTGGGAGGGATGGATGTGGCAATGAAACTCCTGAGGAAATGTCGCGAGCGACTGATTGTTGCGAGAGAGAATGGCGACTGAATGGGGTGGAGAGGAGCACGATAGTAAGGGTTACAGCGCATTTCGCATTTTGCACGTCTTGGGATAGTCCTGCAGCTTCGAACCGCGAATCGCGGCCCGACCGCAATGAAAGCAGCACTGAGAGATGTAGAGCGACGAGCCCTGGTACCTAAGGCTATTTTAGGTCTGCGGCATGGTGTGGTGTGAGAGAAATCGCGGAGATTGGATGTTGCCTGTTGGGTTGGACAACAAAAGCTGCGAAAATAGTTGTGGTAGGCTCGTGAAAGCTGTCGCTACGTTACAAGTGTCGTGACGCGGTTGTCTTCGGGTAACAATAGGGTGTTTCCGGTCGAACGAAAACAGAAGTGACTTCGCTCTATCGCCCTGTCCACTTCCGTGCTCAGATCTCCAGCGTATTACCCTCAACCCTAGCCCAGTGGCACTGCGACGAGGCTCGCAGGTTACCAGATCAACTCGGCTCGAATTTCTCGCTGGCATGCTGGTCCATCCCTCGGAAAGTCACAATGCGCCTCTCCTATGCTCCCGTATCTCGAGTCCCCACCACAAGAGATGTTGCAGATAGCAGCACTGGACTGGAACCAAATCCCCAAGTAGTAAATTGTTGCGCCTGCCTGCTTGATCAACAATGCCGTAGCACCGCACGCCACCGCACTGTATCCCTCCGCGAAATGATCGCTCGCGCCGCGCCTCTGGCTTCGCGCGTCCCCCGCTCCAGCGTGTTCGTGCCACTGCCAGCATTTCCTTCTGCGCGTCGTCTGATTTCTTCCTTTCCTGTAGCTTCCATCGCGAGCGATTTGATCGACTGTGTCACTCCTGGCACGCGTACTTTGCTACTTAGTGCACATAGTAGTCTTAATTGCCTCCGTTCGTCCAGGTCCAGTTTCAGTAATCTTACTCTGTTCACGCATTCGCGCGCTGAATTGATCGCGACTCGTCGTCTAAACGAAGCGGGCGTAACGGCAAGTGCGGCAAAATCCTTCCATCGCGCTAGCGAGGAAGATTCTAACGAGGACGAATCGAAACCTCCCCCCGCGAGCGGGCCGACCAAGACCGTGAAGATCTTCTGCGCTAAGTGCCAGCAGCAGCTATACTGGTACCGCAAGGGCGGCAACGGGGCATTAGTTAAGTGTTTCGTAGAGCGCATTGCGGAGGATTTCACGGCGGGGGACATGAAGTGCCCCGCGTGCGGGTCGGAGTTTGCGCGGATGCGCATGATCAAGGGAAAGCCCGCGCACAAGATCGTCGGGGGGAAGGTGTTCATGCGCAAGTGAGCGCGCGCAGGCGCAAGTGAGCGCGGGCAGGCGCAAGTGCGCGCGGGCAAGCGTGAGTAGTGAGCGCGGCAGGCCTGGGGAGTGCGGAAAGAGTTGCGCGGAGCCGTTTGGGTCCACCTTTGCAGCCCTGCTGTTCTGCTACAGTGCTGCAGTCCTACGTTGCTGCCCTGCCTCGTCATCGCCACTTCATTGAGTTCGCGAATTCGCCATGAGGCGAGCCTCGGTGAGAAGAACCGCCCTCCTCCTTCCCCACCCAGCTCGCAATGATAGCACTGCTGGTTCACGGCATTTCACGGGCTATTAACACATAATTTTCTGGCTGACACCACGCCCTTTTGCATAGCTCCCAAAGTGTCTCTCTCTACCCTCCTGCCAGCACGGTCCCCTCTCGCACTCGCATCTTCATGGTTGCTCTCCACAACCCACCGATCTCACCTTCGTGATCCCCCCCTCCCCCCTCTCCTCCCTGTCGCCAATCCTTTCTCTCGATTGCGCTGCGCCCCCAGCAACCAACGCATACTGCTCTGGTCTGGTCAGTCACTGCAAGGCCTCTCCCCCCTCCCTGCCGCTGCTGCTGTCACCATCCTCTCCCTTTCCTCCCTGCCACTCTTCCCTCTTCCCCCCATCTCCCCTCCCAGCAACCAGCGCACTCCTCGCTGGTCCTCGGCCAGTCACTGCAAGGCTTCTCCCCCCTCCCTGCCGCTGCTGCTGTCACCATCCTCTCCCTTTCCTCCCTGCCACTCTTCCCTCTTCCCCCCATCTCCCCTCCCAGCAACCAGCGCACTCCTCGCTGGTCCTCGGCCAGTCACTGCAAGGCTTCTCCCTCCTCCCTGCCGCTGCTGCTGTCTCCACGCCTCTCGCCTCCTCCCCCTCCTGCTCCTACCCCTCCTTTGCCGCCTCACGCAGCACCAGCAGCACCAGCGGTACCACCAGTGGCAGCAAGGGCAACAAGGCAGGGGAGTGGCGTGTGTGGCGGTACCTCCGCCACCGATGGCGCTGGCTCTCCGCCTCCTCCCCTCTCCCTTCCTCCTCTCTCCCCTCCTCCCACCATGGGCAAGCGCGTGGCAGCAGCAGCAGCAGCAGTTTTGGGCTTCATTTTGGGTTGGGTGGGGCGTCACTTGGAAGCAGCAGCAGTGGCTTTGGTAGGGCAGGGAGGGGGGTGGTGGTGGAAGGAAGGAGAAGGCGCGTGCGGCGGTGGGTGGTTGTGCTGGCGGCAATGGTGCTACTGGTAGTGCTAGCAGGTGCTGCAGCCATGGGTGTGCGTCATGCCGCCTCGTTAATTCTCCACCGCGACAGCCTGAGTGGCACGAGTGGTCAAAGTGCAGGTGAGAGAAAATGAGGCAGTGCTGCTGATAGTGGCACTGGTGGCGCTGGCGGTGGTGCTAGCAGGTGCTGCGGTGGTGGGTGCTGTGGTCGTGGCGAGAGTGCTGTGTGCTACCTCACTGGTCCTCTCTCACATGGCAGGCAGAGAGCAAGTGGGCGGAGTGAAGGTGAGTTAAAGGCGCCTCAATTATTGTGCCGTCTCACTGGTCGTCTACAGTGGCGGGCAGAGCAGCACGAGTGGGAGGCGTGCAGGTGGAGGAGAGAGAGGGGGTATGGTAGGCGTGAGCATCGGCTGTACAGCTCATGCCTGGTGCACGGAGGCCAGGGTGGAAGCGCAGGTGCTTAAAGGAAGTTACGGAGTGAGTTGAATTTCTGGGTTGGTTCAGGACGAGAGGTGGTCGCTGGAAGGAACGAGAAGTTGACTGGGAGGAGCGAGAGGGGCGAGAGAAATAGGTGAGGCACGCAGGGCAAGGAGCATTACCATGCATGTCCATACACAGTCAGAGCTTGCAACTCTTCACCTCTTCTTGCATCCCTGCTTCTGCCTGATGCCCTGATCTCTCTTTGCCACCCCGTAGGTACAGTCACAGCAAGCAACAGGCTCCCAGGCTTCACATCCCATGTGGATTCTACTACCAAGCACGCGGGGAGCAGCAGCAGCAGTGATAGTGGTGGTGGTGGCGTTGGTGGCGGCAGCGGGAACAGAAGTCATGGAGTGGCGATTGACAGAGGGATAGAGGAGGAGGGGTCGATGCTGGGGTTGGCTGTAGACTGGAGCGAGGAGGAGCGGGGGAGGATGGAGAGGCGAGGAGGGGTAGGGACGGGGACAAGAGGGGTGGAGAGAGGAGAGGATACAGGGGAGTTTTGGGTGAGGCGGCGGGTGGGGGAGTGAGAAGAGCCGGGGAGAGAGTGGGTAAGGAGCGTGCTGTGAGAGGAGGGAGAAGGAGAGCGGGTGGCAGAGGGAAGAACGGTGGGATCAGCAACAGTAGGGGGTTGCAGGAAAGGAGGAGGAAGCGAGGAGGAAGGAGAGGAGGGGTTGGGGGAGGGAAAGAGGGAGGGCGAGTGAGGGATTGTGAGGGGGTGATGGTGGGGGAGTGGCCGGGAGTGGATGGGTTGGCAGCAGTGGGGGCACTCATGGCTGTGCGGGGGAGGCGAGTGAGGGAGGGAAGAGGAGGGGAGAGGGGCAGGGCGGGGAGCAAGAGCGGTGGTGGTGGTGCTGGTGTTGGGGGTCAGAGCAGCAACAGCAGCGGTGTTCCTTCCCTTGTGTGTGTATATATATGCCATCATCCTAACTTTCGTCGTCTGTTTGTTTTGCAACTTTCTCTGACGTTTGTTTCCGAGATACAACGCATTGTAGCTGCTTCAGGAGGATTACAAAGGCGATTCATTATGGCCGATTGACAGCTGCTGCGTCGTTGACTGCGTGCATGCTCCTTCTCCCGCCTTTCCCTTCCTTCTCCCTTCCTCCTCTCCGCTCTTCCTCTCCTCCTCTCCTCTCCTCTCCTCCTGCGCTTCATCACCCACCCTGCGCCTCCTCTCCTCTCCTCTCCTCTCCTCTCCTCTCCTCTCCTCTCCTCTCCTCTCCTCTTCTCTCCTCTTGTCGCCCAAGCCCCTTCCACGACCAGCATCACCCACCATCGTATCCCTCCCTCCCTCCCCAACCTGTAAACATCTCCCCAATTCTTTCAGCTCCTGTGCAGTGGTGGGTCCTCACCTCTCCCATGCGCCCTCCGTGCCTCACCTCTCCACCCCTCTGCACCATCCCTCGCCCCTCCCCCCATCCCATCCTCCCCACCCATTCCCACTCCCAATCAGCTCCTGTGCCGTGGTGGGTCCTCACCTCTCCCATGCACCCTCCGCGCCTCACTTTGGGGCAGCCATTGACTCGCACTCCCTCGTGCTGCGCAAGGGGCAGCGCACCCCGCCCACCCGCCTGCAGGCCTACGTGTGAGCGAGTGAGTAAGTGAGTGCGTTGGTGCGTTCATGTGTCGACTCGCACTCCC